TCTTTCTGCTCCGGGGTGAGGTTTAGAGATGCAGCTTTTTGGGCCACTGGCTCATAGGTAGTGGCTGCTGATGCAGAGCTTGTACCTTTGCCAAAATTAGTGAGTATCGCCGTCATTGTCGCCAGTTGTTCCTTACTACACTTAGAGAGGTTTTGAAGAATGGTTGGCATATTGATAGGCTGAGATTTCTTGGTTACTGGTGTTCGAATGATGGGTTCATTGTTCAGACCTGTCTTTGGCATTCCAAACTTAAGAAAAGAGCTGGATCCCACTGGATCTACTAGTTTTACCACCGCTTTCATCGCACCGAGTGTCGATCCGGCGGGGTTGATTTTCTAGGATATGTTTGATTTGGGTTTTCAGTTGATCCTTTGGGATCTACGATTGTTGATGCTGTTTTTTGTAGAGTTTTTTTTTTAGTTTCTGTGACTTGGAAACTGGTGTTTGCGTTGCTTCCTCTTCGGCCATGGCGGTTAACCAGCCGATCCCTGCTTAGTTGGCGAACCTAAGGTTGTGAGGATCCTTCCCCTCCTTCTAGCGCCAATTGTTACCTAAACCTTCCAACCAAACACTTGGTAACGGTAATGGTTTATTTGAATCCGTTTCCAATCAAAAAACACTCCAACCAAACATGCTCTTATTATCATAACTTGAAGTTGGATTCGGGCTATTCCTCGAATTATTTGTATTGTACATGACAACATAAAGGAAAATTTGAATAAAAAAAAAATCAACACACCTTTGACACTTCTACTTAAATCAATCTCGCCTTTGAGTAATTTGAGAGCAATCTCACCTTTGCCCCCCATCTGCTCAAAACAACCTCTTAATTAATTGGTAACCTATTGAAGAAACTGACTTGCGACGTAATTGGTCTTTTTCTTAATACCTTAAAAAAAACAAAAAAAAAAAAGCAAAAGGTTACCGGTTTATTACCTTAAAAAAAATACCTTAAAAAATACAAAAAAAATCGACTTGCGACGTAATTGGTCGTTTTTTTTAATACCTTAAAAAATACAAAAATTAAAATAAAAAACGCTAACTAATCATAAAATGACACGTGTCTGGTATAACCTATTTATTAGGTTACCGGTTTTTTATAATAATTTGAGTAGATACCCCTCAAAGGTCATTTTATTCCTGAATAATCAAAAAGTTGTTTTATTTTTGGAAGACAAATAAAAGTTTGTTTTATTGTTGACAACTAGATTAAGTCCCATGCCACGCACGGTTTTTACAAAATTCTATAACGAATTATAATGTTAATTCAAAATCTACCAAAAAATAATCCTCATATTTTTAAATGAATTTGAAAAAGTTGTAATCTTAATTTATATCCAGAATTGAGTTCTGAATCAAAAAGTAAAAAATATAAAATAATATTATATAAAATAAAAGATATGGATCGGAGTATATGTGAATAGTTTTTTAGGAAGTGAATATTACAATTATATGATTTGGTGAATATTTTATTAAGGAAGTGAATCACAATTATTTAAAAAGTGATTTTTTTTGAGGAAGTGAATAAAAAAATAAAGAGAAAAAGTTTTGGAGGGAAAAAACATCACCAAGAAGTGACACCTGTCATTCTTGGTGTCTGTTTTAGTATTATGTTATTGATTTTTCCTTATAATTTTAAAAACAATATGACACAATAATTAGGTGCAAATTAAATTTCGTCTTTACCTTTCTTTTAACTACACTATCACTCTTCCTTCCAAGCATCATCGTCCTCTTTACACTCTATCTCCCACATTTAGCTTCAAAAACCAACTTATTCATTTATTCTATTCATATTCATCTTCATCTCCTAGGAATCCTACAATGGAAGGGTAAACTACTACTTTATCCTATAGTTGTGTACCTTAACAAACACATCACCATGATTTTAGCTTTGAAAGAATTTTGTTTTGAGTTGGTATTTTCATGTTTGTGTGGTCGGACTCACACAATATATACTTTTTCATAATTAACCCTATCCAATATAAGAATATAAAAAAATTATGGTCCCTATCTTCAAATTAAAACTTTTTATTTCCCATGCTCTGCCATTAATTACAGACATAATACTTAGGATATAATATAAAATACACATTAATATTACGTCATTAATAATAAGGGGTCTCTTTCACAATATTATATTGCAATGATTCTAAAATGTATTCACACTATAAGTTACAAGTTTACCCTTGTCCAGTCCACTTATTTACTTTTATCTCTTTCACATCAATTTCTAATCACATGAGATCTTTTTGGTCCAAAACTTTCCCTTCAGTATCATCTTACACATTTTTATGGTCGAGAGCCGAAAAAAAGGGGCCTTAAATAGTAAAGACGTATTTCAAAAAAAAAAATACTTCGACAAATAAAAAATTAGGATTATCATAACACATGCTCACTATTTTCACAGCAAGCATCAATATTCATATCATTTTTTGCCAAATCAATTCAAGTAATTAAATTATTAGCATTCAAAATATTAACTTATATAGAGTTATTCTAATTTGATTCAATTATAGACAAGATGAGTAGGAAGCAATAAACTTGATTTATATTGCTCCAATTCGACCTCTCGAACCCTAATTTGCGGAAAATTTTCTCTTTAATTTATTCTTAATTGTTATATTGCTAGCTCGGATTGCCGGATATTTTTCTAGCCACCTTACGAATGAAAAGCTGATCACCGCAATTTGAAAATTGAAATGAGAGAAAGATTGTTGTGAGTTTAATTGGGAAGAATAAATGAGAAAAAAAATCAAGAACATTGAGTGAAGAATTCCAAGAGTCATATATATGGAAATTGGGACTTGGGAGATGAGATATTGGGGTAATTGACCAAAAGTTGAATAATAACGGCATGATAAAGAAGATGAATGACCGGCTTTCCATCTTTAATATCTTTCCTTTTTTACTGAATCAAAGTTTATAAAAAAAAAATTGTGGGCCCCACAAAAAGGGGACCCTAAGCGGTTGCTCAACCTGCTCACCCTAATAGCAAGTGTTTTTTATTTTTTAGCTCGTTCACTTGCTATTGTACAATTAGTTAACTGAAATAATTTTTAATAAACTGAAATTATCTTTACTGAATATTATTTTCTTAAGGTAAAGTGAACGAGGCCTTTTTTTTTTCTTTTTTTTGAAGGAAAACCATGGAAATAACATAAATTAAACAAGCCAAACGACACTAACAGAAATCAAGTAAAGACTACAAAGAACATATCTCATCCGGAATATATTTTTCTCCTAATCTACTAACTTCTCCACTGAAGAACAGGCTGTAAACCATTGATGACGTCCTCGTGTCTTCCTAAAATACAACCATCTCACAAATTCATGCAGCATCAAAGGAGAAAGAATGGTTCCATCGCCAAAGATTTGCTATCTTCGTCCCTCTTGACCCATGGACCCTGAAACAGAAAAACCCCATAGAAGGGGAGAAACAACTCTCATAAAGAGAGACTCACAAACTCTCATAAAGAGAGACTCACTTATTGACCAATAAACTACTAAAAAGCTACATAAACTATAGACTAAATAGGGGATTTGGGGCTTACCATGAATTTTTCCATCCATGGCAGCCCCTAATAGATCTGGTTTTTGGGTTTTTTTTGGGGGGTTGCTGACAGAGAGAGAAGGTGATCTCCATATTCAAGTGAACAAGGCCTTAACTAAAACAAAAGTAGACGAAAAATCTAAATAATTTTTTTCTTACCGTAAAACATGTCACAAATTATGTTAAGAATATGATTTTTGATGTGAACTGCTAAACAACGCTCCCATTTTGCAGGACATCGCTCCCTTTTTGACATGGAAGGACGATATTGCCCTTTGTGTAAATTGTAGTATATAATGGTATAATATCATTCCCGACCCCTCCACTTACTACCACGTGGTAAAAAAAATTCCCGACTCCACCACATTCAATCCAACACCAAAAATCCGATTTTTTTTAAAAAAAATTATTAAGCTTTAGCGATGGGTTTAGGACGATGGACGACGACAACGATCGTACACCGGAGGCATCGTCGGAGTATTCTGTAAGTCCTTGTACTTTTTTTTTTTTTGAAATAAAAACATCCACCTAAAATATTAGGATCCACCTTGGTGGATCCGCTTAAAATTTCCGGATCCACCAAGGTAGATCCGGAAATTTAAGGCGGATCTCCACATCCGCCCAGAATTTCCGGATCTTCCTAAGTGGATCCAGAAATTATAAGCGGATCCACCTAGGTGGATCCAGAAATTCTGGGCGGAATTTTTTTTTTTTTGAATTGATTAATTAATCAAATTTATTAATGTAATCTTTGTATTATTATTATAATTTTTATTGTGATTATTATTAATTTTGTGATAAATTGAGTAATTAGTATTAGTATTATTGTTGTTGTGATCAATGTTGTAATTATTTGCTTATGTTGTTATTATTTGTTGATATTATTTGCTCATTTAATCTCTCTAAAAAAATCAAATTAAGTCAAATCTAAAAAAAAAAATAGAGTTTCGCCTGAAAATTCCGGAAGTACCAATGAGGATCCGAAATTTTAAGGCAGATCCACCACCAAACATCCGGAAATTTAAGGCGGCTAGGTAGATCCGCCTAAAAATTTCGGATCCTCCTTGGTACTTTCGGAATTTTCAGGCAGAACTCCACTTCTTTTTTTTTTCCCAGATTTTACATAATTTGATTTTTTTTTAGAGAGATGAAATGAGAGTGAAATGAGTTGTGATTTCAGAAATGAATGTTGTGAATGTCGTGAGTGAGTGTCGTGAGTATTTATTTACGAGGGGTAAATACGAAAGTTCATATAAAAAATGCGAGCGGTGCCTAGTAAAATGGGAGCGACGTTTAACAAATATTTTTTGAGGAAAGATATGTGAAATCTCTTTATCTTAAATATATATGGAGTATTTAATAAAAAATAATAATATTTTTGTAAAAGCTTTGTCTCCATAATTAATAGATTAAGAAAATTACTAAGGACACGTCAAGAGTGAACACGTGTCATTATTAGAGTGTTTTAGTGAGTATACTAGTTTAGATCCCGTGCGATGCACGATTTTAAACAAACACATTGTGAGATTTGTTTATAATACGGAGAAAGAAAGTTTTCTACTCAAATAATTTGTTGTATACATAGTAAGTAATTTCTATTGTAGCATATTACTTGTAAAATATACAATAAGCAAAAAAAATTCACATAGAACACTTTTAAACATCGAAACATTAACATACTTGTAAAAAAAAAAAAGGACTCGAAAGGGACAAAGGATAAAGCATATGAAAGGTTTATTAGATAAAAAAAAACAAAAGTAAAGCAAAAAAATAATAAAATAAAAACTAATGACATCATCATAGCAAATTGGCGGAAAAAAATTATGTCAGAGTAACATGTGTACAATTTGTAGAAAGGATGATGTCAGCAACGTTTTATTTTAATAATAGTTAATAGATATTTAGTGATTATTGATGACTACAGAGAGAGAGATGAGGGGACGGTATTTTCTATAAAGATAGCTTCCTTCTCGAGCTCCCAGAGTCTACAAATGGTACAATATATATTTTGGTGATAAATCAATATAGATTTTATATAACCGCTTCCCATATTCCATATAGTTAAAAAATGGGCAAAATAATAGGGAAGAAACTTAATAATATACTAAAAATTTGAGCTGCAAACTTTTCAATCTTCAAGCACATATCTATTCCTCCTGGCACCAAAGAAAATTCTCTGCATAGCAAATTTGAAACAAAAAGTTCATTTCAGACAATATATACCAGGAAGCCATTGACAACAGAGCAAAAATCTCTTTGTTCTTTCAGCTTACTGAGAAGATCTGTGAGTAGGCTTTCACCCCAGTTAAAAACCGTATGTATGTTGGTTTTGTTGATCCATTGCCAGCAATTGATCTAATGTTAGGGACAAGGTACTCTGCCACCTGTATAGAGGAATACAACATTATTACTAAATTTCAATTCAGAAAACAAAAGCAATATTTCTCTCATATCCGTGTTAGGGCTTGTAGCTTTGTTCCAGTAATAGAAAACACATTCCAGCTATCCAGTGTTGATTTCAAGAGACCTGATCTGTTGTTTCACACCGCAGTATAATAAGCCAAAATCATTAGTGAAATCTCAGCAGTCATCAACCTTGACATCAATTACCACAGCCAAAACCTGTAGCATTAGGTGCTGTTGCTCTGTTGGCTAATATGATGGGTCTGAAGTTCAACGGATAACTTTTTGGTTCAATGTACTTCTAAAAGCATTATGATCACAAAAGGCATTACATTACATAGCAAAGCATATATGAGAGCACTAGTGCACTAGAATTTGGAATGGAATGCTCAAGCATTTTCATATAGGCAACAAGTTCATTAACAGATTAACTGGTGATTAAGATAGAATCTTACAACTTCTGCAGGTTCTGCAAGAACATTTATGAAAAACTTTGCCTGCAGATGAAATAATATAAAATAAATCCTTTTTTGAATGGAAAATTAAATAAGACTGAAAAAAGTTGTCTATTGAACCTGCTTTGTTGTAGCACCCGACATCAGAAGATCAGTTGTGACCATTCCAGGCTGCATTTTCATTATGAGATGGAAAATTGTTAACATTGAAATGACATCTAAAGGAAAAATTATGTATATTAATCCAGGATTATGATGGCTAGCGGACATCACAATCATGCAGAGTGTTTGATTCCCCATTTCTTTTACTTCTAAAAAGCATCGATTTCTCTGGAATAGTTAGCACAAAGACCACAGTTTGGGAAGCAGTAAGTTATAACATACCGACAAGTTATGTACCACCACATTTTTCACATCCTGCATTTGCAATTCAGCCTGCAAGCAGAAAGTCCCATTAAATTGATGTATTAACTTAGAACATAAATCTTTAGCTTTTTTCTAAACTGGAAATGTTTTATTTCTGTTCAGGGTATTTTTAATCAAGCTAAAATGTGCATTGATAGTGACAGTCTGACAGATAATCTCTAGGATGATCTAGGTTAATAACAATACTCTTAACCCCACTGTCATAAACTGCAAGATCATGGTAAAATGTGAACCTAAAGTTCATACTCTCCTTTTGAATTTTCCTCTACAAAGCCCTTACCTTATTTGGTTATTTGTCAAAACACTGTCTGAGCATGGGATAACAGGCTAACAGATATTCATAACATGCATAAAATGGATAAACTAAGAGTTTTTGTGATACACCCTCCATTTATAATTAAGTGCATCACTTGCTTTATTCGGCCATTTTTAATAAGTGCATCACTTCCTTATTTTATCCATCTATATATTATTATTTCTCTCCCATCTCATTAACCTCACTTGCTATTTTTAATTCTCTTTCCATGGCCCCCATCCATACTCACACTCCTTTTATGTGTGGATAAATATTCTCTCACTTACCTTTTATCAACATATTATATTTCCAGCGTCACAATTCACATCAATTCAATTTCCAAAAATTGTATGCATTTACAAGTGATGCACTTATTTAGAAACAGAGAGTATAATTTGAATATTTAACTTCACATATGATGATTTTAGCGCTCTTAGAGCTCCCAGTATGGACACTTAGAATAATCATAAACCTATTGCTAGTCCAGGTCCCTCTAGCTTCATTTCTGCTGATGGTGAGAGGATAACAATACATTTATGCTAGAGGATAAGGGTCGTAACAAGATAATAAAACCATCGTCGTCACTAACCCTTCATCACAGCTAGAACTCACCACAACCTGGCAAAAAAAAAAAAAAAAAAAAAAAAAAAAAAAAAAAAAAACGAAACAAAAAAAAAAAAGAAGATATTTTCCAGATGAACATAAGATAGAAGAAACAATGAACTACTACCCATCATGGATTCATGGACATATACTTCTTCAAAGATTTTTTGTATTCTACATACCTACTATCCGCCAGGTAATCCTGAAGTAGGAGCATAAGCTACTAAGCTAGTCAATGTCATTGTTAATACTAAACATGTGTGATGTGTCTAAGTTCACCTAAGCAGACTCTAACATGAGCTCTTGACTGCGTAACAAAGAGAATAAAGCTTATTTATACACTTTCAAATTAATTCAGAATATTTTGAAATTTTTTTATGATCTGTCATTCCATGATTATTTTCAGGTCCAAACGTCCAATGGCCATCACTATATATAATAACCTAACCCATCATCCTTGTTATCTCTTCAATTCAAAAAAACAAAACACAAATTACCACCTTCAGATAGGTCCGTCATCTAAGGCTTCTCCTCTAGATCCTAAAATATAGAGCAATATGAAAAATCTGAAGCTCAAGTTTCAGTACCCCATCACACACCACTAGGCCTCAATAAAAATGGCATTGTACAAAATTAATGAGATTCCTACACATATTAAACACAATAAAAGGCAAATTACACAGGGATATAATCTATTTCTCACCTGTAACGATTTAGTCAGATGCACCACACTGCGCTTGGTTGCTCCATATGCAGCAAATCTAATTAGTGAACAACCAAAAACAACATAACATAAACCTTCCAAAAGGGGTGTCTCATCCAAAGAATGATTAAATAAAGAGTACTTTAAAGCAGATATAACAATAAATGTTATCTAATAATCAGTTTATAATTTTCAAATCCAGCTATGTAACTACAGCTATCAACAAGTTTTCAGAAAGACAATGATAGCTTTTGCTGCATGAACTGTAATATTGCAGATATATAGTCTGCTCAGCCAGAATTGTCAGGGGCTGGTCAGCTGTTGATAAACATATTCCCTCCGTTTATTTTTTCAAGAGTTGCACTTTCCTTGATCGGGCATTTTTAAAAAAAGTGTAACACTGCCTTATTTCGCAAGCTACATATTAATATTACATCTCTCTCCTTTCATAATTTCCACTCATATCCATAACTAATTTTTTAATATTATTTCTCTGATCTCACATCCCTGACCTTTCAATAAACTATTACCTCCACTATCTTTTCTTATAATTTTTTTAATACCCAAACTACCCCACTTACATCTTATTATATAAAAGTAAAGTAAATTACTTAAAACTATGTGCCGGTGGAAGTGTAACGCTAAAATAAAAAACAGAGGGAGGAGATTGGAACCCATCACTAGTTTGACTGTTTAATGGAAAACTTGATCTCACATTCTCATGTAGTCATGTGATGTGATTCCCAGCTTTCCAGGACAACCAGGAGGTAATAGTAGACCTCATCTACTTCAGATCCAACAAATTAAGATGCCCAAAAAAAAACATTCAGCAGCAAACTCACCTTGAAGGCCTGGCCTGCATGTAGGTCTATCATGGACAAAAATGAATAATATTTAGGGTATTTATGTGCCTACCATCAAAAATTCTAGAGTTGAGACTCAGCCTATTTCATATGTTTTCACCAATCTTCAACAAGGGGAATACTAGGAGCAAAAGTTTCTATGCTTTGAAAAATTTTCAGCAATAATTACTAGCATGTACAAACAAATATAGGCCCTGGAGCATATAAATTTTTTTTTCCTAGGTTGACAGCACCATAGGAGGTTTAACGTCTAAAACTATTTTCAAATAAGAATCAGATACTGTCCAAGTTAGCTCAAAGAAAGTGGAAACTTGTGACTTTCAGGAAAAGATTACGGAATTCCAGCACTTGTTCTGCAGTTACACAAGGGGTCTATTACCTCCCTCCCCCCCCCCCCCCCACACACACGGGTCTAATAATAAAGAAAAGCCTTTGGAACATCAATTAAAGTTCTATACATATGGCGTTAAAGCCAAGGAGGAAGGAACATTCTATGCACAATGAATCTAAGATACCTTGGGGTTGGTCTTCCATCAGAACCAGCACCATCAATATTGAATATATGACCGCCTCTAGGTTGGTTCAACATCATCTTCATAGCCTATAAAACAATATAGTTTAAGGATAGAGTGTTCGTGTATCCTTCGAAAGCAAAGAGAACTATTTGTCTGTTACCTCTCGACAACAGAGCATCAAGCCTAGGGTATTTGTGTTGACCACCTCACTGCATAGATCCATGTTATTAATTTATCTAATAGGATGCTGACAACTGAAACCGCAAGGATATTGCCAATTTTGCCATTTGCATGATTATGAGAGGAAAGATGAAAAAGGCAAGGAAAATATACTCACATCAGATCCTCATCTGATGCTTCTGCCAAAGGCTTATAGCTATATGCATTAGATCCTGCATTATTAATCTGCATCAGTAGTAATACAAGATTAATCTAAAGGTCACTAACATGCCAGATCAAAAAGTTATGTAATCATCTGCGAGCAAATTTCATGAACACTGTTCTCTAAAGCAGTTCACCAAATTGGGTGTTTTAAGGCCCTAGCACAAAAGTATCCATCTGACAATAATACCACACACCAGAGCTAATTTTGTGTTCAAACATTCAGTTTCTGACTCGGCTGATGGAATGCTTTCATGACTAGTAACATTATCAATTCTAAACTAAAATTTGAAATCCATGGGAATTCCCAAATATTGATACCATAGGTCATCTCATGATCTAAAAGCATTAGTACAGGTTATCAGATATCAGTAGATCAGTCAAGCTGGCCAGTCAAATGGGCTTTTGGTCAAGCAAGTTTGAATGGCTTTCAGATCCAGCAAGTTAGAATGGATTTTCAGGCCACATCCATTAATCCATTACCCATTATTTTTTCTGGATTGTTTCAGGTTTTCGGTTGAAATATTGTGCCCATGACCCAACAGTATTAGCCGTTCTCAATACCTGATCAAGACTTGAGAACAACCATAGCTTTAGTGCAGAACAGCACCTATAGGAAAGGATATATTTAAGACTAACCTATGAGGGGCAGGGGAGGGGGTTGGAATAGGATATATTTTCAAACTAAAAGAAAAAAATTATTAATTTTAGCCTGAATCGAGTAGAAGCTAAACCAATGTGTCATTGAGCCCACCCAACATTATAGTTGGTGCTTCCCTGTACACTTTACACATGGGAAGTAATAATTATTTTTATCTTTTTTTTTTTACATCAAAAGGTTAGTAATATTAAGGATCAATCAAATACCCATATATCAATGTATTTTAGTTTTTCCTGTGCAAATGCAACTAAATTCTTCACATCTTGCCCATCCCTCACATCGCACTTGGTACCCTGCAAAAAGGAAGTTACTTGAGAAATTGTTGAGCCGAGTATGCTCAGAGTTGGACATTCAAATTAGATCCCACTAAAGAAAAAATAAATGATGCTATATTTTTCTAGAGAGAAGAGGTTGTGAAGGAGGTACCCACACACGCAGATCCCCAAATTCTTCTCTTAAGCTCTGAACTGCCGATTCTACTCGTTCACCTGTCGAAAGAATGATTATACCATTATTGAATGATTTATATCGATTCACACTAACACTTTTAAGTATAGACCTATGTGATCAAGCTTAATAACTCATCAGTTATTATCACCAGAACAGCCAGATGTTAACAAAATTGACTAAAACACATACTGAATGCAAATATAAACCATGAGTGGATGAAACAATATTTATCTAGCATGACAGACTGAAAGAGATGTCACACTTACAGCAAATAAATTAATAGAAATAAAAAGAACAATAAATCATTGCAAGAGATGAGTCACCTATTGGATTCCCTGAGATAAATTGATAACGATCAAATCCTCTAGCGTAGTTACAGGCTCAATTAAGTTTATGTATGTTATGAAAATAACCCGAATAACTCTCAAACTAAACAGTTAATCGTCAAAAAATTCTTGGATATTTAACAGATTTCCTTTAGGCGAAGTCAAGAAATTAATGTCCTCGATATGAATTAGCAACCTGATCCATGCGCATAGCAAGACTATCAAATAGAGTACATATATAAAGCTACAAACTCATAGATCAAACCACTATGTCATTCATTTAAACATCATGCATGAGTAAAGTCTTCAAATAATCACTCAAATCATGAATGACACTCATCAGAACTTCACATAAATTCAGTTGCTCAAAAAACCTATATGACCAATCTGGGTGCTTCAGACCTTTATAAGACTGTGAAACCACTCCTTGATCTACAATCCATTGCATGCTGAAATTAATGATTAATAAACAGCACACTCTAACTTGTCCAATTTAAAAATTTTGACACTTGCATATGCCCATATCCAACCAAGTGTACTCTTAGGTCCAAACAAGCCCAAGGTGATTTGTCAACAAAGGCCCTTAGTTGACCTGATATTTGCAGAACTGAATATCTTTACTGATTAAAAAACTGATTTAACTGATCATTACTGATTTCTAGTGCTATTTATTGCAGTAGGTGGTTGATTGACTATTACTGATTATACCTGGCGTTCTGGTTTTTTTTTTTGTTAGACTGATTACAATCAATTTTACTTATTAGAACTAATATTGCTTTTTTTTTTTTTGGTGTTTAGAGAGCCACAAGGGCGGGGGTGAGAATCGATCCCAGAATCTCTTGGGATCGGGAGGGAAGCTCTAACCACTTGAGCTATCCCCCACTCTCAGAACTAATATATTGCTGAGTAAACTCATTTATACTAAATCTTTTTTTTTTTTTTTTTTTTTTTTTGTGAACTGAATGCAGAAAAAAATTTATCTGGTTCTTTTGGCAATACATAAATATATATGATTCTCACCTGTCCTTGAACAAATAATGACATTGTCACCTGCTTTCAAAAACTCTTTAGCTAGTGCATACCCTATCCCTGTTTAGCAAACAAAAATGTCAATGCCACAAAGTAAAAAGAAAAAGGAACAAAAAATGGAGGAAGATCAAGGGTTAAACAACCAATTAAATTATGCCTAGCTCTGGCATATCCTAGCCATATCTGGTCCAGGGTTTCTTCCAACCCACATACCAATTGTGGCGATATATAATTGCAAGCCAGAAATATCAATAGTTCCCATCCATACAGAACCCAAAAATAATATCATCACATTTCAACTAGTATTTCCCATTTCCCAAAGGTATAAAAAGAGTCGTATAGACTAGATCATCAATGAAAACTAACAAAAAACGGTTTCGGGATTGGAATTCCTACCATATGTAAAGAACACAATCTAGCCAATATGACTTTCCTTATTGATCCAGGAAGATCCAGATAACTTGATAATGAGTACAAGTCAGAGGAATTTAAGCCAAGTACAGCAGAAAAGTAAACAAAAGAGAAAAAATTGAGTTGTTTTTAAACTCTAATTGATATCTTGTAGCAAAGACAACATATACTTTATTTTTAAACTGCACAACCTACAAGGAATTTCAAAGTCCACCACCAAGCATATGGCTAATATCAAAACGGAGTAATTGATACTCCCTCCTAATCAGAAACATAAGCCACATTCCTACTATAGGCAAAACAAATCAATATTTCCTCCATCCTTAAATATTGTCAACATATGATTGAAAGCCACTTTAAGGATTGGAGTTATAACACGACAAAGATCTTTCATTTTAAAAATTTACATCTCCATATTACGTAGTCTTTTTCTTAAAATTTCTAGTGAAGGATATCATGTTATAATTAAGTGTAGCATGAGAAAGTTTTAAATGTAACTACTAAATCAAGATATCTGACCTATATCTTGGGGACATCTAATAATATAGCTTTTGGGCTTTCGAATATAGTCCATTCTTCTTTACAGTAGTCCACTCATTAAATGTGACAAGTTCAACATGTAATGAGACAGTTGAAAATGAGGTCTCAACTCCTCCATTACCCAAGGGGGCTCATATTTTGTAGAAGTAAACAATTGTAAACTGATTTGACAATTTTACACAATTCCGAAATACAAACCACAAATTCAACACAGCCCCTTTGTTCTGATATAGAGAGGTCCTGAGGGAGATGATAATCTGACATAGTAATCAGATTACTTTCACGACTTCGGACTTCCTTAGTACAAGAGAACAAATCAGTGGACACTCTGTACATATGTCCTTTTACCCCATAAAAAACTTACACTCAAGTGGCATAATTATGCAATGACGCATGGAGAGGAATATTTGTGTTACTTTTGTATTAAAACAGGAATGCAGAATGATTCAAGATTAGTAGAATTAAACAGCATGACTAATAAACAAGGCTATATAGTTTCGCACAAGCAGCTACAAGCTACAATATTTACACTTCATGGAAGAAATCTATACTGTAATTTAAAATGTGCAGCAGTTATGATATGGGATTGAGTCATTAACATATCGCAACATCGTACATGTTTGGCATTTGCTCGTCATACTTAACCTTTTACTAATCCTCAAACGGTCAGACCCAACCCAATGCCTCTCAATTCTTATAAGTTGCTTTAACAACCAATCCAATTAGTGAAGTGATAATTTTGAGTAAATCAATATCAACATCAACAAGTACACTACACTCTAGCTGCTCACAATCTCAACATTGTTGCCAACAGCTTATCTGACCCTTTATTCTCTATCTAAAAATCTAAACCCCTTCCTTTCTATTACTGTTACCGGTCTCCAATTTCCACTGTCTTACATTGATGTCACATTGCCACAAGTCACATTCCTAATCAACAATAAAGTCGTACATTGCACGGGATCAAAACGGCGTACAAACTCATTTCACTGCAAATCCAAAAAGGGAAAAAAAAAATGCAGTCCACTGACTATTGATTATATTACTCTAAGCCATAAACAGGAGGAAAATTCAAGAGCATTAAAACATATTACCCAAAAAAAAAAGCATTAAACAAATAGCAAGAACAGACTTTTATTTCTGACATCTAATACAGTAATACACTTAAAATTCAATAGTATAACATCTTAAATTGCACAACTTCACCAAGAATTCAGTAGAGCAGAACCCATTTTAATTGCAATTAATTTCGAGATTACTCAACCCATTTTAAAAAAAAAAAAATAAAATAAAAAAAAAGCCCCTAATACTAGAACAATTACCCAGAAAACAAATTAATTTTAGCCTTAATTCCAAGATAAAATTTTAATTATTAATCAAGGGAGAAAATTATATTAAAAGAAAAGGACAAGATGAAAATAACCTTTGGAAGAGCCGGTGATGAGAACATTGTAAGGAGGAAGCATAGGCTGTTTTTGGCCATTGAAAGAGGAAGCTTGAGCTTTAAGCAAAGTAATGGGGTACCTAATATTATTAACAAACCTTGCATTGATGAGAGTTTGGCGGGAAGTAAATGCGAAGAAATTGGATTTAGGGGTAGTGAAGGAAGAGTAGAGAGAGAGTTTAGGTGAGTTGGATTTTGGTTGAAAAAGTAGTGAAGGAATGGATGAAGTTGAGGTAACCGCCATTTTTGTGGATAAACCACTTTAAGTGTAAGTGCTCTGATTTTGGATATCAGTGTAGCTTACTTGGGAAGAGAGATCAAGAGAAGGTGTTAGGGCATCATTATTGGTGACAAAAAAAAAAATGGTTCATGGGTTACTATCACCATTTCTCTCTCATCCACATCAACCCAACAAACCATTTACAATATTCACTCTTAACAATGAACACTAAACAATGGTTCATCATCAATACTCCCTACCCCACCTTATTTTATTTTTGTAAATATAATCTATTTAATTCATAATTATAATTTATTAACTCGATGTCAATGTAATTAATTGACGTATTTAATTTTTTAATCGTGATTACTAATTAAGAAATTATCGCGTTTTTTTATCAGTTTTTTTAAAAACTAATTCTTGTGATCAATATTTTTAAATTATCGAGTTAGATGAAGATGAAGAGGAATCGGTTGAGCTTAAGTTGAAACTGTTTGAATTCATTTTCTACGTAAGAAATGTAAGATAGAGTGAGGTTTTCTAATAATAACTGCAAACGATTTATGTGTTTGTGTGTAAAATAAATGAAAGAATGGTGTTTATTTATAGTGAACTAATTTGTAATTCTTCTTCAGAAATAACTGAATATAAAGAGACAAAGATCACATGGGCTATGACAAACACTGGATTAGAACCACACAGAAATTGAATGGAGAAGAAGGGTTTCACATGGGCTAACAAAGGGGAAATTAAGATACTGACACAATTATATATAAAGAGACAAATTGATATAATTGAATAAAGAGACAAAGATCACATGGGCTATGAAAATGGGATAGTGGAAAAGATCCATTTTACTGATTAATTGATAAAGTACAAATAATTGGAAATGAGTACAAGAGGTTGAACTGGAATTGAAAACTTATCACTACTGAAAATGAAGATTACAATGCCTAAGCATCATTAGTGAAACTTTTAATTTTGTTCTGAAGTATTACTATCATTTCATCTTCCCACTGTTCTCGGTTTACTTTCTGTTCTAGACGAGCTAGTTGCTCCCAGTGGATCCTATGTTGTTCTAGCTCAATTTTCCGTTGTTTCCTTGCCTCCTTGCGCTCCTGTATTTCAAGCCTCTTCATTTTTGCTTCGTTTGACACATTCATCGAATCCCCAAATAGCTGCAATCGGGTGTTGAATGTTTCTAATTCCTTAAATGCTTCACTTGATGGAGCTTTACCCTTCAACCTCGACTTAGCCTTTTTAATTCCTTCAGCACGAGCTACTCTCTCATCACCGACACCCACGCTGGTCGGTGTGGTAGGTGAGGAATTGTCACCCTCATCCCGTGTCCTCTTCCCACTACTTCCGCTCCCTACAGACTCATCCGTCAGTGGAGTTGAATGTGGACGTCCCACCGAAGGCTTGAATGTTTGTTGGTCCAAGAAAGACCGGAATTTGTCCCACTTCCTAATTTGGATCCATTCCTCGTAGAAGGTGAATCATTCGAACGAGTTCTCATGGATTTTGTGGGCCTGTTGGATAACATCATCTTCGTTATAGCCACTTCCCTTTCGCTTCCGGGCCTTATCATAGCTTCCGCACCACTTTAACACGGCTTCAGAGATTCGCATCCACCTTCCCTTCAAACTACTAATAGTTCGTAGGGATATTTCAACTGGATTCGATTCCCTGGCAGCATCGTATGCGTCCAAGACTCTGTTCCAAAATACACCCTTCTTTTGATTTGTGCCGATAATTATGTCGGTGCTGGTGTTCATGTAGGCGGATATAAGAGCCGCAGTTTCTGATCGCGACCAACCTCTATTGTTTGAACAACCAACACGAAATTCCGGAGTTGATTGGAGTGGTTGCTGTAACATTTGAGTGAAGTTTTGATGGGGGGAAGGAGTTTCATTTCCCTCACCATCATCCTCGCATTCTTCATTTGCCTCATCTTCTTCAGATAAGACATTGCTCGATTCCCAAATATTGGGATTCGGTTATTGTGACGGAAAATAACCAGATGCAGCACCATATTCACCGTAACCCATTGGTGTCATGGATGGATGTGGAAAATTTGAACTGCTTTGAAAAAAATTATATTTTGAGGGAAATTTGGTGGATTATATGGGAAACTTGACTGGGGTCTTTGAGGATAAACACCAGAAAAATTATGGGGAATATTTGTGGGTGTTTGTGAAAAATTAGGGGGATTTGGATAGAAATTGGCTTGATTTGGGATAATATTTTGACCCAAATTTTTTTTCTGCTTTCTATTTGTATTGGGGTTGGTATTAGCATCCATAATTATAATTTATAATTGGAAAAAATAAAAAATTAATATTAATAGTAATAATAATAATAATAATAATAATAATAATAATAATAATAATAATAATCTTAATAAACAGAAAAAAATAATAATAATAATAATAATAATAATAATAATAATAACGATAATAATAATAATAATAATAATAACGATAATAATAATAATAATAATAATAATAATAATAATGATGATGATAATCTTAACAATCTTAATAAACAGAAAAAAAAATAATAATAATAATAACAATAATAATAATAATAACGATAATAATAATAATAATAATAATAATAATAATAGTAACAATAATAATAATATTAATGATAATAAATAAAAATAATAATAACAATAATAATATTAATATTGGTAAAAATAATAATAATATTGGTAATTAGTGAGGGGATTTTTGAAGAGAAAAATATAGTAGAAAAGAAAATGGATTTTTAAAGTTGAAGAAAGTATATCAATATGGGTGTCTATTTATAGAGGGGAAAAAAAGAAAAACGTTGGTAATTTTTTTTTTTTTTTGGATTTGTATTTTGTAAAATATATCCGTTGTAAAATTACAACGGATATATTTAAAACTGACAACACGTGTCAAGCAGCGGCTGGGCCAAGTGGCGCGCTCCCTTGAAACGACGTCGTCAAACAACGTCGTTTTGCTTTTAGTTGAGTGGAAAAATTGGGTGGGGCACACAACGAATTTGTTCCTCTAACTGATTGCAGCAACAATCGAACTTGCAACCACTCAAGATGAACAAACTTAGAGTTTGCCATTAAGCCAACCATTTTATTGTTCACTCATTGTGAACCATTTAATTGTTCACCCTTAAGGGTGCTCTTAAGCCTGACCAAACATTTTGTTAGTCCGGTTATTGTTTGTAAGGCAATACAAGCTTCTCACACCCTCATTTCCACTCACCACCGCCAACAATACTCACACTCAATCCTACTTCACTTTCTCTCTCCTCCCTTACCTTTTAACTCACCCCTATTTTCTCTCTTCTCAACGTTATGCTAAATTCATCCATTTTATTTATCCATGATTTATGCTTGAATTGAAGAGGATGGAGAGAAGAGAGAAAATAAAGATTGTTGATTATATTTGTCCATGATTTATGCTTGAATTAGCTTGATAATTGCTTGAAATTCTTGGATTTTTCGAAAAATGCCCAAAAAAAATTGATTTGGGGCTTTCTTGTGTGATGTATAATTGTTGAAATTGATTCCTATGTGATTGTATGTTGAATTGTGAACATTTTGATAATAAATGCATGTATTTTGGTTGAGAAATGAGCATGTTATGTTATATCCATGAGCTTACTACGGGACCTTCAATGGTGGTTCTGCCATTATTTGACCTTTTAATTATTTTTTATAAATAAATTATATTGTCTAGATTATATCATCTATAATAAGTTGGATGATATCATCGATCATCTACAAGTTGGATGATATCATCCATTGTCTAAATGTATCCCGTATTAGTTCCATGATAACCTTTATTATATAGGTTTCATGATATTATTTATAGGCTGGATGATATCCTCTATTGCTTCTGTGATATCATCTATAAGCTGGATGATATCATCCATTGCCTAGATTATATTATTTATAGGCTGGATGATATATATCCTCTAATGGTTATATGATATCATTTATAGGTTGGATTTAGTTTGTTGGATGATATACTCTATTGGTTATATGATATCATCTATTATATCTATAAAAATCCTCTATTGATTTTATGATATTCTCTATGTTCCATGATATCTGTAATACCCCGTATTTTTATACGTATTTTTAACTTAAATAAGTATTTCTTAAAGTATTTAAATAATTTGAAATGAATTATTATGGTGTTTCATTAATTTAAAAAGAATTATTTTAATTAAAAGTTTATTTTTAATTATTTAACAATCTTGAAAATATTTTACTTCATGATTTGGAAACTTTGGGACATATTATTTTATAAAAGGAAATTTTAAAGTCAATGGTATTTAAGGAAAGTCAAAATACTAGTTTGAATAGAAAATAGATCATTAAGGGTAGTAAAGGAATTTTAAGTAGGAGGGTTATTGAGAGAGGGTATAACACCCATCATATGAGCAAAATCAAACTTTGCCCAAGGTGGAGAATACCCAAAGGTAAACTCTCTCTCTCTCCTCTTATTTTCTTTCTCATAATTTTTCCCCTTCCCCTTTATTTTAATTTTAATTTTTTTTTTCACCACCACCACCACACACACCATGGTGGCCGGCTGCCGCCACCACCACAGCCGACCGCCACCAGCACAGAGCCGCCAGCAGCAGCAGCCATGGGAGGTGGCGCCAGCCACCCTCCTTTTCCCCCTTGTGTGTGTGTGTGTTTTGTTAAAATAAAAAATTTGTTCTTTTGATTTTTAATTCAATCCACCCTTAATCTAATTATTGTTTTTGGGTTTTGTGATGATCTTTATGATATTTGATAATAAGTATTTTGTATATAAATTTTCAGATTTGATTTTGAATTAAAAAGCCCTAAATTGTAAACCCTAGATTTCTAAGTTTATGTATATTGATGGAAATTGGTTATGGATGATTTAAATTATTGAAATAAGTGTTTTAAAACACAATTGCAACAATTTTAGATGATTTAATAAAGCTGAAATTATCATATATAAGCTATAATTATGTTTTTTGAAAGGATTTTTAATTACCCATTAATTGGGAATAAAAGTAAGGGTTTTAAATTAAATTTCAACTTATTTTAGAGGGTTTATGAGTGATTTAAAGAGCGTATATATTGCTGGAAATTTGTGTGGAATAGATATTAATGTCTCTTTGTAATTTTGGTTTGTAGGAGGTTTCCAAGTGAGTGATTTTATTTAGTCGTGGCGATTTTGAGATCGTATTCAAGGTACGTTCGCATACTTGGTAATTATTTGAATATGTAGAAGCATGCTAGGCTTTGATAAATTAATTCTAAGTAGTATCATGATAGGTATGAGTTGGAATTTGTTGTATGAATTGATGTTGGTGAATGAATTGTGAAGTATGAATTATTTGTGGTGAATCGATGATTGGAATTAGTTATGTTGGCATGTTGAATATGAACCACACTTTTATTGTTGGCATGATAGAGAGCATGTTTAATTAAACTAAATGTTTAATTGAGTTTGGAATATTGAAAGGAATTTTTATTATGGTTCATATTATTTTTATGGATGCTATAAGCATGAGGAAGGAGTTATTTAATTGTCTATGTACACGAGGATTAAATTATATTTTGGTGCCTAAGTGCACTTAAGGTGTTATAAACACCGAGGGATAGGATTTGTGGTGCTTTATGCGCTTAAGGTGTTATTTAACACCGAAGTAGTTTAAAAAGGATTCAACATTAAATTTATGTGGTCACTAATTATTCAAGAATTAAATTGGTATGTTTGATTGCTTGAATGAATAATAATATTTGATTGTGTTACGGTTTGAGAGTCATCACCAAGTATAATAATTTGTAAAGCAATGTAAAGTGAAAGAGATTACGCACCAAAACTCTTGGAACGTATATACCTTGAGTATGAACATATGGGGGGGAGTTATGCGACTTTATATTTGACCATAATTTCTACTGGGAGTACAGGACGTTGTATATTCCTTTTTATTATGCGCGGAAATTCCGCCACTTACAAGTGGTTCTTTTATAGTGGCACGGTTAGCTCCCATGTTAGTACCCTTTTATTGGGGCATGTTTGGGGGAAACCCGTTCGATGCGTAATCAAGCTAAATAGTTAGACTAGTTATTTGTTGAGTAGTTGTGTTGTACGTTGTATGCTTGCAAACAGGTGCAACAAGGTAAGTTGTGTGATGATAAGATAAAAGCATGTTAGTGTGTTTTAGTTACGCTTATGTACTCAGCATTGTTGATTGTGTGTTGTATGTTTGTTTGGGCTTGTCTTTACCTTGGCCCTACGACGACTCATTTCTAATGGTGAGTAGTGGGGACAAGTAGAGAGAAGTTTTTCTGGTGGTGAAGTATTTTCATGATGGCCATGAGTGAAGAACGAATCATGCTTAGTTTCCATAGGAATATGATGTGTTTTATTTGATTTGAATATTATTTATTTTATTATGCTCAGGAGACTAATGTAAGGGTTTTCAGTATTGTTTGGTTTTTAAGGGCCTACAATGGTTTCGAGTTGTAGGTTGACTTTGTTTAATATTGGTTTGACTTAACTTTCATTTGGTTTGACTTTTGAGTTGACTTGTTTTGAATGGTTTTAAAGAAAATCTTCCGCTGTGTGTCTTTGATATTTTCCTTAGCCGTTATCACGGTGGCGGTAATGTCTTAGATTTTCCTATTTCGTATTTTAAAAAGGGCAAAATAGATATTTTAAAGGAAAGAAATTTCTAGGGTGTTACAATATCATCCTAGATGATATCATATACTGTGTATATATATGATATCATCTCGTCTATAGATGATATCATCTGTTTGTTCAATGATATCCTCTATTGGCTCCATGATATCATGTATAGTCTTTATGATATCTTCTATTGGTTATATGATTCA